GATATTATAGTTAAATATAATAAATATTTAAAAAATAAAAAAAGTACAAATAATCAAAAGTATATAAAAAATTATATATTAATTATGTGAAACAAAAATTAAGTGCAATAAGTCAAAGTTATTTATGTAATGTAGACGAAATATATGTAATTTAAAACTGATCCAAAAGCAAAACTATTTTTTTTATTTGGATGGTGGGTCAATGACCCAACTTTTCAAAGAAATTCATGATGCCATAATTGAACAATAAATAGTAAAAAAAGATAGAACACAAAATATGAAAAATTACAAAATTTTGTCAAAAACATACGGGAACATTTGTAATGTTATATATTCATCATATTAAATAAAATTAAATATTAAAATAAATTTACTTTATTTACGATAAAAATGGAATCAAAATTTAATAATAATAGTAATAATAAAAAATAATAATAACAACAACAACAACAATAATAATAATAATAATAATAATAATAATAATAATTGTTATTATAATTTAAAATTTCCACATGCAATGCACACACATATTTACTACAAGGATTTAAATTTATTTTTAATAATATTACTACTTTTGTAAATTTTCAATTTTTATCTTAACTATGACATATCTAAAATTCAAGTAATTAATATAAAAAAAAAAATTCTGATGTACAACACACATACTTGATTACTAGTGTCATTGAAAAGCTCTTTAAGTCTATTTTCTAATGCAACAAACTAATCATCAATTGTAGTTTTTATATAGAATGTTATAAGCAATAAAATATTGATTGACGGAATTGCCTACTAGTGAGAAGCATCACATCATTTTCAATGAACAAGACAAGTGAACCTTTATTTAAACTCGCTAATGGGCTTCCAATAACCATTTTGATCAGTCGGTTTTTAACATCTAATCGGTTAAATTAGCTAGTTTTACATTAAATGCTCTAACATTTAATTTTGTTCTTAATATAAGCTATGTAATCGAACTCTTCCCTTTGTTAATGTTACAGCCACCTAAGCAAATGCAACAACATTAAACACAATGTTTTGTTTGGTAAGGTGTTTCTTACAACTTCTCGAGATGTAAATATAGACTGCCAAGTCAAAGACACCTTATCACATCGTAGTTCTTCAAGAAACATCAAAATTAACGTTTGCGTGGGAGGTAGGCTTCCTAACTTCAAAGGAGTGACCTTTTATTGGTGTTTTCTCAAAGAACACTTAACCAAATAGGCAAATAAGCATTTTGTTCATTTAGGTCAAAATGCCAATATGATACTTATACCTACGTGGCACCATTTTTTGGGAAAATGGCATCAGTACCAAACATCCCCTAGATAGCACTGAACTAACTCTGAATTTTTGTTTTCCAACTCAACTTGCCCCCTCAAAGCTTGTTTATTTTCAAATTCTTGTTGTAGTTTAATGCATGGTTTTTAAAACTAAACCGGACAGGGGTTCGGTTATTGGTTTGAACGGTCGGTCCGTTCTGACAAAAAATAAAAAAATTAAAAGAAATTAAAAAATGATCAAAACCATTCGAACGGTTAACCAGTCGGTTCAGCAGTTTATTGACCAAAATCAATGATTTTGGAGAAAAACAAAACCGATCAAATGATCAATTCCCAGTTTTTCTGGTCCGACCATCCAGTTCAATCTGATTTTAAAAACCATGGTTTAATGTAAGAATTTCTAAGTCTAATTCGGAGCATACACACCCAATTTTTCATCATGATCATCTAAACTTTGTTCCAATTATATTGGAGTTGGGTACATGTATGCTCTTTTTTCCATTTTCCTCCCCACTAGACCTTATATACATAAAGTCGGGGCCTAATCCGAGTAGAACCCATGTTTGGCACGGGTGATTACTGATGCTAGGCCTAGACCTGCCCAATGATTGGAATCAACTGGGCATGTAGAAATTGGTGAAAACCTATTAAAGATCAATAAAATATAACCTTTAATGTACATATATAATAGGTGAGAAAAATGGATCCACTTTTTTCTGTTCTTTTAATTTCAAAATTCAATATTTAAATGTTTTTTTGGTACTTTGCTACTAGGTTCAAAATTGAACTCAATACCTCAATGTTTTCAACCCGTTGTTGACCTAAACAGTTGAATCGTCATTTGATCTTATTTTCAGGTCCGGTTTTTTTAAAACCCAAGATTGGATAAAAAAATTGACTTGGTCAAAATCCATTTTAATGTAAGTGGTTGAATTGTTGATCCATTCATCCCGGTCATCAGGTTATATTCAATTGTCTTATTGGGGTGATTTTTTTTTTAATATTTTGGATAACTTTTCAAGACCCAGTGTTTCAAGGTGTTGAGCCCCTGCTATTTAATGTTTTGCCAAAAAAAATCATTTTTGGCCTCAAATCCCAATTTTTTATTTTTATTTATTAAAAAATATATATAAATTAAAACATAATTATATCTATCATACATATACATATATCACATGTAGAATGTAATTATATATTATTTAATCAATAAAATACATATTTATACATGCATACATACATAAATACATGTGCTAACGTAAATATGTATATTTATATTTTGTTTAAATTGATGACAGATCACAGCATGATCCATCCAACCAAACTGTGACCTAAAGGCAAAAATAGTTCAAGCTCGAAGTTGGTTTTAAAACACCACTTTGGTAGACCTGAGCTGGAGCAATTTTGATAAGAGTCCATAATTTGTGGACCCAAATGCTGCTAATTGGGGCTGAATATGTTGGACGCTCAGATAATAGGATAGCTCTCATAGCAAAGCTGTTGTTTTTTTCTTGATGCGGACTCTACCGGCGCGGTGCTGTATGCTAGACCTAATTAGGAGTTAGTGAGGTTAGTGACAAGATGCACATAGGGCCCACTAGCACGACGTGGAAAGCCTTCATTTCCATACAACCAACTCGACAAGAATGGATTGGCAATAAGGTGCTTTCAGGCAACATATGTGGAACCCACAAACCTTGTGCAGGGGAGTGATGGTTTGTGTATTCCCCAATTTTCCTAATTTCCTAGAAATTGTCATGCCAAAATTATATTGTAAGGTGTCAACCAGTTGGTTGGTAAGGTTTCTTATTGATCGTAGCAGAGACTTAGGGTCGAATCCTGTCTGTACCTGGATTAGGGGGTTATGGGTTGGGGGATGAGCTACCTCCATTGTGTAACCCTTCAAAGAAAAAAAAAGGTAAATCATACCATCTTCTCCTGGTTCTTCTTTTTATTGGGCAAACAATCTACCTATTGGTTTGTTTATCAGTTTCTGCAGGTTACCTTGATTTTGACTATGTAGCTAAATTCTATGTATCCAGTGTTGTTGATTTATTCTCCATGGAGTCCTGAGCAACATTTGTTACTGGTTCAACCATCAGAACCCCCTTTTCCTCAGATCTGAAAGGGCATTTAGATGAGCAACTGCCTTGAGAGAGAGAGAGAGCAACTGCCTTGCTGGTAGAGTAGGTGCAACTTATTTGTCTGAGGAGAGAGAAAGTTGTGCAAATTATAATTGGATTCCATCTTGGAGAAGTAATTAATTAAAGGGTATGGTGTGGGCTATCTGATAATGCCATAGCATGTGAGGCCTTAATCAACTGATCATGGGCCTTGCACTCTTTATTAGAAGAACCCATCGTTCAGTGGGTATCATCTATATGTGTTTCGAATATGGAAACCACTTGATAATAGCATCATAACCATCATCATAGAGCTACTTATTTATTGTTTGCTATGCTTAGTATATGTAATAACTCTTAATAAGTGGAAATGTAGCCGATTTCAAGCCCCTTAACCTAAAACGACCTTAGCCTATACCCATTAATAATTACATCTTGTGGTTGTGGGTCTGTGATTCTTTATCATTCTTTCCAATTTTCATATTAGACCAAAGAAAAAACACTTTTTGTTAATTTACAAAGATAAGGTTTACCCAAAAATATATACATAAAGAGCTTCAATTCTTATCATGCCCACAAAACAGAAAAGAAAAGAAAAAAATGAAAATAAGAAGCAATTATTGGAACCTTTTATTCCTTAGTTATTAAAAATCATATTTAAATATTGCTGGATTAGGATTGAATCAAATCGGATGGAGATGGGTCCTTATTAAATTAATCAGATTGGATACCCATTTGAGTTCGGACAAACAGATACTTACTGGACCCTACCTTTGGTGACTTGGGTAGAATTGTACCTACCACATATTTGCACTTCACCACCGTTATTCCCTTACAAATTCTTCTGCCAATTGCTCTACCCAAAGTTATCAGGGTGTTTTGGCAGCAGATAAGGGTTTAAGGATGTCGCCATCCCACTTAATTATACGAGTTTTGTCCTTTTGGGCTTCACGGGCTCGTGGGTGTCTGCTGTGGGCCATGGCCCCCATCATTTCTCCAAATTCTTATTCTACTTGGGCTGGGGATGCATATAAATAAGTGAGGCTCCATCATTATCCATGATGAGATGAGATGTTATTAATTATAGAGTTTAATAATCTCCATCCAGGTCATATGTACTTTGTCAAAATATTGTTAAATCAAAATTAAAAAAAATAAAAGAATTCTTTTTTAAAAGAGAAAATAATTTTTTCTTCATAAGCAAGTTTCTCTTGATATTCCATGATAATATTTTGTACATACTAGACGTCGCGGTCCCGTAGCTCAGTTGGTTAGAGCATTGGTCTTATGAGCCGAAGGTCGCGGGTTCGAGCCCCGCCGGGACCATGGCTTCCTTAAAACCTCTTTTTTTGCCAGGCCAACGAACGCCAAATTCTCGGGTCAATAGTCAAAACATACAAACATGGTTTTGTCTTCATGAAGCCAATAGATTTGATGAGAAATCCAACCCAACCAGCACCAGCCACCCGACAAATGACCAAACAATCCGCATGAATCATCGTAAACCATCGGTTTTAATTTCTGTTCTTTCTCTAATATATACGTGAAAAATTTGTAAATAGATTCGATCTTAGAGGGCTAAGAATAAAGAAAGGAGAAGCATCTCCATCAGACATTGTCATCGACTCATCGTCGGTTCCCCTGTCACTGTAGCCCCTATAGTTGGACCTCACAAAGATCAACCACCAGCTTCAAATGAGTTGGGGCGTCGGTTGAGGCTCTGATTGACAAATACAGACAGAGAATGAGAGAACTATATGCAATTTTATAATTTTCCATTTGTTCTTTTATTTATTTTTAACTCCTTTGTCAAAAGCTGGTGATGGCCTGATGGGCCATGGCAATCCACACCTACCTTTTCCTTTCTCTTCCAAGCATTTCTTCTCTTGCACTACTACTTCTACAGCCTTTTTTCTCCTAAATCTCCACAACCCATCTCGCTAAAACACCTCCTCAGGGCGCACGCAGCTGCTTCTCTGGTATGTCGTCCTTACCCATCTCTGCTTTTGCTTCTATTTCATTATTCTGGTTTTGTTTTGTTGCCTTTTCTTATTCTATTAGAAATGTGAGTGCCCAAGCTCTCTTAGAATGGAGAGGGAAGAGCGAAGATAGAAATATTCCCAGTAACCATAAGAATAACTGATGGGGACTTGAAGAACATGCTTTATTTGTTCTTATTATTTGAATAGCTTGAAATACTCTGGCTGTCAAGAAGGAAAATAAGCAAAAAATGGAGACAAGCACAAACACAAAGAAACAGGTCAACTATGTTGCAGAGGGTACCGTAATAGCAATAATAGGGCTGTTTTTTATTTTAAAGAAAATTGGGTCTAAGGTATTTAGGCAGATCTCAATTATTGCTAGTTAGATTGATAACGTGTGCTTTCCTTTATCTAGAATATGTAGGGAAATTTTTTCCACCTTGAAGATTTTAGATCACAAAGTTATATAAAATCTCTGATCTCAACATATCTAACACATTGAAACTTTGACCATTTTATTTTCATGATTCAAATGGTAATAGGTATTGTATTTCATTGTTCATGCTTAAAAGCACATACAATAACTTATTCATCAATGCCTTTCTTATTCCTGTATTCAGTTCCATTAAAATTTAAACCTATAATGGGAGATTGAGTTATTTTCGCTCTTGCAAATTTTGTTTTGGAAAGATAGCTAGGACTGAACCAAGGAATATCTGTTGCATTTTCCTTGAGCTATGCTTGGTTTGACAGAAAATAAGAGAGAAACAGAAAGTTGAGGCAAAGTTCTGAAGGAATATCTTAAAGTATAAGACTGGATTGCCAAGGAAAAAAGGTGTGAAAGTGAGTCTATGTTTCCCTTTGATTTTTTTTTTTATTTGGAAAATTTAAGGACTAAACTGTGAACTCCATTTAGGTGCAACTGTCTGTAGTGGCACTCGTGAGTTTACTCCAAATAGACAATAACTGTCCAAGATGTTGCATATGGATTGGTTGTCTTATGGATTTTACAAGCAGGATTGTGGTGTTAGGTTGCTTCAAGATGCAATTGACAGTTACTAAGATAGAAGTTAGGATCTCTGACAATGCATGAAGTGCCATAGCTTTCAGTTCTAATAAAAAGGAAGATTCATTATATTCTATTTTCTATTAAGGATGGTGATGGATGGATATGAGATTCCATGAGCCATTTTGTGTTACTACAATTGTACATTTCCCACACTTGTTGGGAAGTGAATCCTTGTTACTCTTCATTGAGTTAAATAAATGGGAGTAGGTACTTGAGTACTGCTTCTAAAATTTCCAGGAAGTGTGGGTGCCTATAAGCATCTAAGATGCAATATTCTTCCAATTTTATAAGTTTTATAATGATAGAAAAGCTGGTGGTAGGAACAAGAGGAGGTCCATAATAAGTGATAATCACCTAGGGTGGAAGTTTTTTTGGTTCTAATTTACGTGCCTCATTGGACAAGAAAAGGAAGGATATTGCTAGAAAAGTAGATTATTGGTGGATATGGACATAAACATGTCTCAGAAAAATCCTTGCATATTACATTGAATCCAGTTACAATTGTAACTTTCAGAGATTTACAAGCGATATAATTGGAATGCATAATCAAATTAGCAGTATTTCTTCCTATATCATCAAATATAGGGGATAAGGAAACAGCAATTGAAAATCATGTTGATTAGACATTTTGTTTGATCATCTGAAGTACTGAAAGCTTGCTTAATTCCTTTTGGTGCTTGTGTTGCTCCAAATATCTACTTGGTAACTGTGAAGATCATCCATTTTTTGTAGTTTATTAGTTCCATGATAGAACAAACTGATAACATTACAACTAATGACTCTTGATAATCCTTTTTCTTTCTTTCATCATTTAAAAAAAAATACAAGTATAAGGCATTGTTTATTATCTCATGGTTACCTATTTTTCTGAGTTTGTGTGGTTTGATTTGTGACCATACTTCATAATTAGCTGGGGTAGGCTTCTATTTTGGTTCGCTGCAGGTTCATGTTCTTGTTAACTAGTGTATGGATTTCTTGGTATACATGTTACATATTATAGAGATACTCAGGCTAGGTATGTTATTTACACCTTTTATGCTGCATTGATACTTAAGATTCACAAGAATGCAGGTTCAAATTTGAGTGTTTGGCCATGGACAAGGAGATAACCGTTGAATCTATGAAAGGTCCAAGGAGTGGCGGTGGTTTGGTGAATTGGTTGAGGAAGAAGAGGAGTGCCCAGATCCTTTGATGGGCTGCTTTACATGCCCTCTTGAGAGGGATCAGACTGGTCATAGCTCTGGTGAAGTGGTGGGGAAGGCAGAGATTGGAGTTAGAGCGAGAGTGAAAGTCAGTGGGGAGGAGAAAGAGGGAGAGAAAAAGAGAGAGCAGAGAGAGAGGAGATCTTCCCTCGGATTTGAGAATGAGCCTCCTTTATATACTTCTCTCCTCTTTCTTAAATGTGATTTGTGATGGTTTATAGAATCTTCTAACTATGCCATGTCAACATAGGTGGCCAGTTGTCAGCCACTAGTGATTAGTCCATATGTCTAATTCAAGGCTTGGCTCAGTTTGCTATTCTGTGACCCGGGTTGGACTGGGCCGACTCAGTTTTGGTTCAAGATGGGTTAAACCAGGTCTATGGCCTTTTACATGTCTATGCCCTTGCACTGAGAGCAAAATTGCTGGAGATTATGTCCTTATTGAATACCCCTCCCAAGGCCCAAAATAGCTAGAATCAGCATTGATTGGTCTTTATGGATGCGTAAGTAGATGATTTACCTTCTTTTGGTATGGGTTTCATTGATTACATGTGTGTGTGAAAGATTTTAGGAAAAATTATGGAACTTACTTTCTAGTTTCCCATCTTTTAGGTTTTATCTATTGTTTTGTGAATCATGTCTCATATACCTTTTAATTGGTGATGTCTTGATTAGAGTTTTCTTTCTTTAAAGGAGCATATTTGTTGGGCTAAATATGTTTGCATGAATTATCATGAACCAACTTCCTAATTGGGTCAAACTGAACCTATTCCAAATCTAAGTGACAACTAGCGATTTAGGTTGCTGTGCCTTATCCCAAAAAGAAAAAGTCTTTCATTCAACGTGTTCTTCTGTTTTCATTTGCCTTTTCTATAAATTCAATTGAATGTTGAAAGGCATGGAATATATAATCCACAGGGCTGATAAAAGTTGCTGTATTTGATAATTTTTCTCAGGTATGTTATCCACATAGAGCTGCATTTAGCAACTGCCTTCCTGGCATTTTTCTTTTGCTTGAAGGAAATAGGGGCAACGGTGTTTTCCAACCCCTGGAACTAGTTTTGTTTAGACTTCTTTGGATCCTTGCATATATGATTGTTGGGGGAACTTTTTTCTCGGTACTTGCTGTCTGGACACAGTTGGGATATTAAGACCCAGTGTCTCTTTTACTGTTTCTTAAAATTACTAAAAGTTTAACTATGGGCCTATAAATTTTGAAGTCCCGAATGCCTACATCTTTCATGTGTTTGTAATTCTTATGTCATCTCTTTTCAATATACCAGTTTTCCTCGCTCATAATCATGAATTAGGTTTCTTGCTTCTAGTGAAGGGATATGCATACTTTTACCTATTATTAAGTTCACAAAAATCACTTCTGTGTGTACAAAGCAGGAAAACTTATGTGTGACCAGAGTATCAGGGAGACTTTGATATGCATTTATCTATTTAGCCATCAACCTTCAACTTTTACTTCTCTTATTTATTCATGTAAACTGGTTTCCTTTTTTCTTAAAATGTCCACTTATAGCCCAAGAGAAGTGTACTGACCATTGGTTCATATTAGGTTGTATGTACTCATCCAACACCAGATAGATAGCAATGGGTTCTGGATACTGGTTTAAGGCAATAATTAGCCTAAGAAAGCAGAAGGAAGACAGATTGAAGCAAGTCAAGGTAAATTTTCCTTGGAATACTATTACGATACTTAAGTTGCTTATTTCTTTGGTAGGCCATTATTTTTATAAGGAAATAAGTGTTGGCACTCTACTTAACATTGCTAATGGAATAGATATTTGCTTTAAGTAAATCAGATTATCAAGAAGATTAAGTTTTCATGGGACATGAAACACTTTTTCTCTGAGAAAATTAGCAGGGTTCGATTGTACATGAATTCTCTAATTTGAATGGATTCCCTTTTGTTCCCTTAGGTCTATCTATCCATCTAGTACTGGTCTGTCTTTATCTATCTTTTGATTGTGTATATCTAACTACCTAACCAACTAACTTGCAAACATTGACAATACCCCGTTACTTGAGATGTCTTTTGGTCAGCAGTACTTGTCCACAGGCTGTAAGTAGCTAGGGGATATATAGTCTTTCTGTTTCTTATACAAATATTTTGTTTATAATTCTCCAATTTGTAGTATTTTTATTATACTAAGTTCCAGTGATAGAATTCTAATTTGATGATTATGGAGAGACTATGTACAATTAAAGAAATGAAGTATCATTCCTGTTTGATTCTATTAGAACATTAAACTGTAAATGGATATAAATGTTCCTATTTCCTATCCAATAAATGAATAAATAAATCCTTATATAAAGTTTGGAATATAAAATTGCAGAAAATTGTATCCATTGCCTTTATAACACAAAATAAGTATGCCAAGTGCCAATATAATATATTGTTTCTATTAGGCCACAAATTGATGCCATAATATGATGTAGGCTGATGATGAACCCTTTTAGATGTTTGAAACCTGTAATGGGACAAAATGTTGAACTTATTGAATGGTCATCCTGGCACTAAACCAGGCTATTTTTGTTTAATCCAGTGAACACTTGCTTGATTCAACATTACTTATTTTAGATATTTAAATGCTTGAAAACATTTATAAATCAAAAGGAAATCAACAAGTTCATATTTGTTTATAAACTTTGGCAGTTTGGATAGTCCAACCAGTTTGGATATGACTACTAACTTTGGCAGTTTGACATTTGATTCAGGTCTAGAAACATTACTTTATAGCACCTCAGAAAGTATAGTCATGATCCTATAATAGAATAATCTTCATCTACACTCTAAGAAAATATAATAGTCATGATCCTATAACAGATATGATCTTGATCTACACTATAAGGATTGAAGGGATGAGAGATCCATCCTATGGACGCCCAAAGATTGCGGAATAAGGGGCSAMTTTCAAAAATTTTATCTCTCCCTTCAACTGGGAATCGTATTCCC